ACTGTGCCCAAAATCAGGCGTGGCATCTGCTCTCCCCATCTGGCTCCCGTCAGCCATCAACTGGGCAGCGACAGGTGGTCGTCACGGCAATGCTGCCAAGATGGACAGACACTGCAGTGCCCGCAGACCAAAGGCACGCCCCCTGCAACCGAACCATCAAACTCCCCCAGGAGTACGGGCAAACTCACAAGCATCAGTTTACTAAAAAAAAAAAAAAAAAAAAAGGCCAGAGAAAAGTCATACGCAGGGTCTTCTCAGTGTCGGCGGGCAGCCTGGATATCAGGTTCCCCGCTGGCTCCTCACACCTGTGGGGATTCTCTCTCCCATCATGCACCTGCCCAGCTCCTGTCGGGCAGGGGCCACATTCTGGAGCCAAAACCCACCTCCCACCCTGAGGACAGCATTTCTCTCTTCATGGGTGGATCTATGGTTGATGCTGAGTTGATAAACACTGTGCTGTCCATAAGTATTAGAATAGTGACAGCTCGCGTGATTTTAAACTCTATACTCCATGCATCACACTGAGGATAAAGGGTAGATCATTTAAGCTTAATCTCTTAAACTCTAACTTTTCTCTTAAGTTTTCCCTTAAGTAGGTTCAAAGTCAGAAAAAAAGCATTTTTTCATACTGCAGGACAAAGTTACACACACATTCTGTATCTGCTGGTTGCAGCTCTTCACTGAAGCTACATCACACTTATACTGAGAGAAATATTCAAACCCTGGATGCCATGTTTTTATGGCCACATCTTTACTTCAAATGGAAAGTATCGAGACCTTGTACATCATTTTATATGCTTTTCCCTGTAATTCTGTAGCACAAATGTGATATCAATGGAAACCTTGGGACCTCCACTAGTATTTAATACAGGCCTGAAGTTCCCCAGTTTGGAGAACAGCAGCTGTATTTGATAGACCCATAGATGGGTCCGTTGATTTCATGAGGTTAAAGCTGTGGAGCCGCTACATCCATTATGACTGACTAACTTTTGGACCTAGGAGCACATGCGCTCCCAACCTGAAAAAGTTGGGTGCGCAGGCCAAAATTTAGGCGCGCAGGCCAAAACTGTGGTCAGGCAAAGTACCATGATACTTTTCTGAATATTTACAAGCCCAAATAAAGATACCTGAACAGACTATCAGTTGTTGCTGCATTCATTGAAGAAACATTATCAGAAAGCACTTTGTGAACTGAAAAGTAGATATTTATGTTCACAAGAATGTTTGAAAAATGTATAAATGCAGTTATCGTTTTGGAGAGTTATCATACAAGTCTAAATGTATGTACAAGCCTCCATTTCTCCAAGGGACAACTTTTCATCAAACCCTCCCCAGTACATAAACTGAATCATTCACAGAAAAATTATGGCCAAATTTAGATGAGCGCCGCCCTAAAACCAACATCTAGGAACAAATCAATGAATAACTCCCAATTATCACAGTGCTAGTTCTAAAATGTATAACTATTATTGTTGCTGCCATCTCAAGGAACAATTTGACACCCAACATGGCTTAATTGCTTTGAAAATATGAGACCCAGGAGGAATTGAAGCCGTAAAAAGCATAATTTGGCAACATTTTTTCATCACAAATTGAAAGTTTAACATTAAAATTAATATAGTTCCCAAAGTGATACCCTAAATATTTGGTAAAAAGTAGGTGCAGCATGCCAAGTTCGTTAGCACAGAGTTTCAAGAAATTATTTAACCGGTAACAATGTAGTAGGACGTTTTATTATAATAATCATTATTTACCAGTTTTTTTTTTTTTCGCTATGTAGATTTTGCCCATTTCGAAGGGTAACGGAAACGCACACAGAGAGTGAGGACGATGTCCGACGTTATTAGCCCAAAAAAACAGTCTGCTTCGTGACCGTACGCTGTACGTGACACAGACTCATATTTGAGGCATTGCGCTGATAAGCCTATGGTCGTCGCTGGAGTACATTGGATAATTCTGTAGCACAAATGTGATATCAATGGAAACCTTGGGATGTCCACTAGTATTTAATACAGGCCTGAAGTTCCCCAGGTTGGAGAACAGCAGCTGTATTTGATAGACCCATAGATGGGTCCGTTGGTTTCATGAGGTTAAAGATGTGGAGCCGCTTCATCCATTATGACCATGTTCATGCTTATGTTTTAAAATGATTCTTTGCGATTCGAACACAAGTGGAGATCCGCAACACATCGCTGCCCACGCCTGTCTTTCCCATGCATCCAGAAAGTGCCTTCGCTGACCACATGTGTTCTGTTTTGTAACTGCCTGCGTTTTTGATCCATTTTCCTGTTACGCACTTTTCAGGGACACATCAATGCGCAACTGCGTTACCAGAACTACACATTTACTGTATATGCGGTGAAATGCGTCCCAGACCGCCTCGGCAAGCCGTTTGAGCGATCAGATCGCCATGCATCTCCGTGGTCCTGAACGCTGTATTTAGCGCTGTCCACTTGTGATCCGATTCGTCGCGACACATTTAGAACAAAGTGCAAGCAGGGTCTACGTGATCCCAGGAAGATATGGATCCGTACTCATACAGGGTGACTGTCCATGGGAAATAATGTCTTGATTTAACGATGCGTGTTCTAACTGAAAATATTTTGGCTTCTTATCCCCGCCATAAAGTGGATTCGAATATAGGAGTGAGTGTTGTCCTTCCCTTCCACATGTCCGTCCGTCTGTCAAGCTTCTTATCCAGGCTAGAACTAAAACCGTTCCATATTTCCCAAGGAAATGTAATAGATGGATACATCTTATTATGTAGATGTGCTGCTCATACTTTCCTCTGTCCGTCTGTCCGTCCCTCCACCGCATTTTGTTTCCAGGCCTGATATCAGCCATTCTGTTCTTTTTCGGGCAACAACTCCCAAACCATTCAATATTTAGCTATCAACAAAATGGTAAAATATGGCTCCATCCTACAGTGACGATATTTCTTGTCATATTTCTATCTGTCATCCTGTCTGTCTGTCCATCCCTCCTCCATGTTTTGTTTCCAGGTCAGATATCAGCCATCGCATGGAGGGGATCTGAGTTTTTCATGCTAGTTGGGAGTGGGATTTGTTCAGTTTTTTCATGGATTTTTAAAGCGGAGCACCGTACTTTGACCTGGCACGTCACACCAGATGCCTCACCGGTATGCACTGCATTATCGCCCTGCTCTGAAACACTCAAAATATAATACTGCGTCAACCCCACCACAACCCACACTGAGCCCAAGAGTATACTTCAGGTTGCACGTCGACTTGAAAACTTTTAAAACCTCAAAATCATCAAAGCATCTGCTGAACACCTCTCCCATCGCCCTTTGGCAGATAGCTGCGGCTCGTCAAATTAAAATTCCGCCGGTGCGCGGCAGCCTGGGCAAACACAAGCTCGTGATCTAGGGAAATGTGAAGATTTGCGCATTTCTTTTTCTGGGTTTTGTTTTGAATTTTGATAGACGGTCCCCGTTGGAAAGCGCACTTATTTATTAAATTACTGGTAGGTGTCTGGAATCGTCGCACAGTTTTAAGACGCTGTTAATACCACATTTGTCGAGGCATAAGAGACTTGGGGACTTTGCGGCATCCGTTTTTTTCGGACCGACTAGAGCTTAGGGTTCAGTGCGGAGTGTTACACGCGCACAGCTGCAGAACAGAACTGTAATGATTCTCCAAATCGCTGCACGAAATCCCCCATACACCGCACAGCCGCGCACACCACTACAAGAGATAAAGACGACCCGCTATTTCATGCGCCCTTCTCCCATCACCGAAACCGTGCCAAAATGAACGCGGAGCGACAGATCGCGGCGCTTGTTATGATGATATGTAAAATGATCCGCTTGCAGGCGGGACTCCCAGGCACATAATGAAAGCTTTCGAGAGCTATTTGCTGCGGGGATCATATTTAATTATAAAAATGATGGAAGAGGTGGCTGGAGATAAATATGATAATGAAGCACAGATATACTACATAAGTGCACCGATAGGAACTGAAGTTTGATGAGGAAGCTACAGCAGTCGTAGTATTAAACAGAACATTGACAACCTTTAAATCTTTTAGAAGTCTAGAAATGTGTCATTTTTTTCTCCTTAATTCTGATCTAGACTTCTCGGACTGCATTGCTTCCAGCTGCCAGTGGTGATTATTACAGCAGCTTTGAAACATTGAGCTACGAAGATCCGAAGACATAAGCGACCTTATATCCAAAAGATGACAGATTCAAGACCGCACTTTCATTCCAAATCTGACAAAAACGTGACCCCATAAATACACTCTGGGCAGGAAGGGTGTGTCCACCCAGACCGGTCAGCTGTTAAGTCCCAGTTGAGCAGAAACGCAGAAATCCAAGGCCTCTCTTTCTCTCCATCTCTCCCTCCCCTTCTCTCAGTGAGCTGGCAGTTCAGCCTGTCGTAGACAGAATGAAATACTCAGCATGTTTGTTAAGCCAAACCCGGCAATTAAAGCAATCATCTGTATCGGCCCGTAGTAATTACTGACTGGCTCTCCGAACACACCCATAAATACGAGCGACAGTGCCGCCGTAAACAATGGGCTTTCTCGGGCACCAATCAAGCCCCGGACTGCCCGGAGAGCAGTGCATGCTGGGATTGTTGGCACCTATACTTAGCAGAACACTGGGAAACAACAATAAGGGTAGGGAGCCGAGGCGCAAACCAGCCAGCCGAGGCGCAGCTCCGACAGTCCAGCCAGTGGACAGTAATTTGGCGTCTCGTTAAGGATGGTCCGATGAGTTCAGCTGGAGAAGTATAAGTCACAGGAAGAGGACTCCGTCACTGGCTGGAGCAATGGCTGTCCCAACTCAGCCTAATCAACTGTATGTCACTTCGGATGAAAGAGTTAATAGAATAAATATAATGATCAGTATTGGGTACACCCCGAAATCTAACGTACAATTCTGGACAAAAAATGGGCCAAACCCCAAATGGCAAAAAAATAAGTTTTTAATGGTCTTAACAACAAATCCTCCAAAGATTTAGCAAATGCCGGGCGGCACAGTGGTGCAGTGGGTCGCACTACTACCTCAAAGCAAGAAGGTTGCAGGTTCAAATCCGGCCTGGGGCCTTTCTGTGTGGATTTAGCATGATGTTGGCATGGGCTTCCTCCTCATAGTCTGGTTTTCTCCCACAGTCCCAACACTCGCATCAATGGTTAATTCTAAATTTCCAGTGTGTGTGAGAGAATGATGTGTGAATGGTGCGAGCGCCTTGAGATGGATTGGTGAGCTGTCCAGGGTGGGTCCCTACCTTTTGCCCAGAGTCAGCTGGGATAGAATGGATGGATGGACAGATGCTCTCCAGAGACCTTCTGTGTTGCTATTTGCTCCTTAGCGTTTGCCACAGCAAACTTTTCAGGAAAAAGCAGGAAACTGCTTCACTGTAGAGCTGAGCTGCTCTACTGAGCTGCATTGTGAAAAGTCAATTAATGCTTCGTGGTACCAGATAATTTTGCAGAAAGGTTTGCCTCTCACAACTGAAGAGTTGTTCTCTAAACTGGAGCAATCAGGCGCTATTTTTCAACTCTTCTTTTCGTAAAAAGCCACCTGCAGGTTCACCCAAAAGGCCAAAGGGAAACACTGCCCCACACTAATTTACTTCATCCATCCGTCCAATTCTTGCTTACTATCTTGACCAATGATTTGTCCTTGAGGACCATTAAAAGCTTCACATTTTGCCATTTTTGGCTTGACCCATGTTGTTGCCCAGGAGTCTAGTGCTGAGTTACAGCTGGTTTTTGGGGTGTCGTAAGGAAGGTTCTGCTGAGGTGATTTACAGCACTGACCCATCTTTTATCAGGTGAGGAAGCACAGTTCCTATTTCACCCAAAAATGGTGCCGCCCAGATGAGTAAGACATGAGTAAGACAGGACTGCACAGGGGCGCGTTTCATTCACAGTCAATGGGCCCAACTATGTAAGTTAGCATCTTTGTTTTGGAAAACGCACCCCAGGTCAGGAAGTGAATCCTGCTGAGCAGATAAAGTATCACCTGGAGCGAAAGAGTGAGTCGTTTCCTCCCTCGTGCTTCCGGGTCTGAGAGCATCAGATTTGGGGGTGTGGTCAGTGTTTGACCACACCCTACAGTGTACCATTTCTGTGGAAACAACCCAAGAGAGAGAAGAAGGAAGTTTCAGAGATAAAAAGCTGGCCTGTCCATTAAAATCCCAGACGTTCTCTGCCTCCAATGAGCTACAACACGATACTTGGAACATCATCGGAAACCTGAACCTGGTGGCAGATTTACCATTAATTTTTCCCTCCTCTCAATCTTACAATCCCATCCATCCCTCTTTATCTGCGATAACACTCATTATCACAGGAGAGACAGGTGCGGGACTGATCGTAATGGCTGTGAGGTTGGTGAAGTCTGGGGCAGACGCTGTCGGGATGAAGGTTTAGCTGCCACGGTCGCAGCGAGGTACTTGAAATCGCAGTATTGAGATCAGCGGGTTCAAATAGCATTTGCTATCCATTCTAATAGCTTTTTCTGAATTTGAATAAGTTTACCTTGACTATAGGAACAAATGGATTGACCCAAAAATCTTGTCCCAGCAGGCTAAAATAAACCAGACTCAATTAATCAATCAATCAATGCATATGAATCCAAATGCATCCTTAAGGATGAAAAGCATTTCAGTCCGACTAAAATGCTATGTGGGACCCAGGTCTCGCAATGAACCCAAAATACCCCCCCCACCCCCACCCTTTCCCCGAGTGGCAGCAGTCCTGTATTACCGTCAGCAAACACACCCTCTCTAGGTCTGTGACTAGCTGTGGGGTGGGGGGAAATGGGGGTGACTGAGGTGAGATTCACTGTAAGCCCCCTGACTAATCCCCTCGCCCCTCCCTGGGGGGCTGCAAGCCCTGTTCCAGACACAAAGCACCCGCCGCCCCCCCCCCCCCCAAACCTGTCGCGGCTTCTCTCTGTCTCTCTCCCCCTCCGAGCCCCTGATCTCATACATCTCACCACTAATCCTGAGGTCCCCGCGGAACACGGCGGATTTTCCCTGGAACCCTCGGCCTCGCTGACGGGTAATCCTCCGGCCTGTGGCGCGACTCGGAGACAGCGGTGTGCCAGGCCAGCCCCGTCAGGGATGCCAATCTCTGCCCCGCTTCGCCAAACCGGCTAATAATCACCCGCAATCAAACGCGGTGGGCCGGCGTCCGTCAATCATCGCGCTCATTAGGAGCTCCGGCGATGATGGATAATCCGCCAATAAAGAGCAGGGCTTTCGCACGGCGGCCAGACCCGACACGGCGCCGTTTCGCAGTTAAATTAAGAGCTGCGGGGGCAGGGACGCTATCAGGCTCTTGTTTTACTTTGTTTCACTGCGTTTTAATGCCACTTAATGGGAATTGATTCAGTATTGAAACACTTCATTTGCTGTTCAATGGCTTGCATCTATCCCAGCATCACCCTCTGGCTGTTTGCGGGGATTAAAACATATGGGCCAAAGCTTGTCCATTCAAATAAGAGCTGGTTACACAAATATGGTCAAATATTCCTCAGAAAAATATGCATATATTAGATGATGAATGCAGTGAACAGCACTGCTTCCTAAGAGCAAGAATGCTGTGGGTTTGACTCCGGCAGGGACCTGTCTGTCTGGAGTTTACATGCTCTCCCTGTTGGACATCCTCCTGGTGCTCTGGTCTCTTCCCACAGTCCAGAGACATGTATGTCAGGCTAACTGGAGACTCTACATTGCCCATGTGTGAGAATGATGCGTTTGCCCTATGATGGATTGCTGAGTCCCTGCTTGTTGCCCAGAGTCAGCTGGGATAGGCTCCAGCTCCCCCGCGACCCTAGTGAGGAAGAGGCAGTTTAGATGATTGATGGATGGAAGACCAACATGAAACTACTAAGATGACATTTACAGGTGTGCACATTTTTGACATTTTATAGGCCCAGCTAATTTTATTTATCATTGAAATTTTCAATTTTGAGCTATGCAAAATTAAGCCACCGGATGAACTTAGAAGAAAATGCAACGAATAACGTCAAACATGAGTTTGTATTGAAATTGAATGCAGCAATGGATTAAATCAGTGACCCGTTCATATTGCCGATCATCATCACCATCACTTGGCCTCTCCTTTGGAAATGCTTCTTTCAGGCTCTTGGGACAGGAGCAAGGTTTGGCCCTCCTTTCCCCATTAGCGAGGGAAACAAATGCGCCGTTGGATTTAAAGCAGGTGCCCGACTTGGCCAGTCCAAAACATTCCACTTAGAGGACAATTTTGCAATGGTTTGCAAAGGATGCAATATTAAGCTCAGCAGCGATGGAGTTTGACTGGGAGGCTAACTGGTTCTTTCCGGAGTGTTGCAGCCATGTTGTCCAGCTTGGATAAAAATGGCAGCTAAATGAATGTAATGTCATATATAATGCAGTAATGCATAAAGCAGTGTTACTGAGGGAATCGTCCTGCTGACGGATCACATGCCAGCCAATGAGGTTGGAGGAATTTCTCCAAACTCCACAGTCTTCATTTATTCATAAACAGACAGCATCGTTACGCGCAGAATCTCCAAACTGAGCCTGTAATGGTGGTTAACGTACATTCCCATGCTGTGACACTACTCCCTCCAGATCCGCAGATAATGTGACTTTGAATCAATAACTGTTCCTTTCCCATCTTAACCCTTTGTATTGTTTCAGTGAAGGTTTATTTTAGACACCGATGTCTGTGGGAGCACAGCTGCTCATCTCTGAGCATTTTGGCCACTTGGTTTGTGTTGCTCCTGACAGGTTTGTATCCAGCAGAAGGGCCTCTATGACTCCGTTTGGAGTCAAAAAAAAGAAAGAGGAAAAAGATTGAAGAAGGAAAGAGAGAGGAGAAAGATGGAGGGAGAGCAGTAGTAAGAGGGAGGGAGGCAGGGAGGGAGAGAAGGAAAGAAAGAAGGAGGGGAGAGGGGATAGCGAGGTACTGAGGAGAGTGCAGACTTTGCACGTTCTCCCCGTGTTCTCGTGGGTTCCCTGCGGGTCCTCCAGGTTCCTTCCACTGTCCAAAGACATGCATGGAGAATCTAAAAGTGCCCACATGTAGTGAGCGTGTGAATGAATATACTGTAGGTTTTGCAATGGATTGGTGAGTTGTCCCAAGCACAATTTTGCCTCTTGAGCTCTGTGTATTTGGGATAGATCCTGAGCAGAGATGAGTGGGGTAGATAATGGATAGATAGGTTGATGGATAGATAAATGGGTGTAACTGTTTCTTTAGAATAAAAGCCTGAACCCACACTGGTCCTTTATAGATGAGATAAAGAACCCGAAATAGGACCACTGTTTTTATGTTACTCGCACTTAGGATTCATTTGACATCACCTGCTGTGCTGGCCAGTTTCTGTGCTATCCATTCTTAATGCATTCCTGCGGCCTCACTGCGTACAGATGAGTTGTTTTTCAGCCAAAGAACCCTGTAAGTTGTGCTCTTGCATCAGGTGCATGCAATCTAAAGCAGAGAAAGGACACGATCACCCCCTACTGGTGAGAATAAAGAAGTGCAGTGAACTTAGGGGAGTGGATTTTGCAAATGAACAACAGACTGCACACAAAGAGGCTGTGCAAAAATGGATCGATATGAGTGGATCTTGGAAAAAAATGGATCTCACTTGGTTTCAAAACCTAATTCAACAGGGGAATAAAATGCAGCCATTTATGTCACAATAAATTATTAGCAAGGCTTGCAGGCACTGCGAGGAGAAATCGAGCCGAAATATAGCTTTAAAAGAAAGATAACGACCTCTCAAAATATCTGACAGCTCCTTTCTAACAGGAGTAGCGGAGAAATTTCTCCGCTAACTTTGAGATGGCTAATCCCACTTGTACCCAGTGAATAAGGAGACACCGACACATCGCCAAAAAGTCAAAAATGAAGGAAGGAAACGATGATTGGTGCGACCGTAATATAATAATAAGAAATGAAAATCCCACCTCCAACGTCCCCCGGCTGAGAAGTCGACAGCCGCTCTCCAGCTAAAGTGTTTGGAATTGAGTGGTGCAGTTTGGCGGCACTTTAGCAGCGGGCACGATTGTATCATTAAAAAGTGCAGCCGGCGATTGAGA